CCCCCCGCCCCAGCTCGCTGCCGCTGCCTCCCCCTCCTGGCCTGCGCTCCTCTCCCTGGCTCCCCACCCCGCCCGCTGCCTGCTCGGGATTGTATCCCTGGGATCGTGAGCTGTGGCTTTAAAATCCCCTCCTTTCCTCTGTCTTGGATGTGCTCGGTGTGTGTTGTCTCTTTCCCGCGTGTGCTTGAGGATGCTTGGGGCTGTGCTGGCATGAACTTGGGGAGGAGGGCTTATTTCCCCCAGAAAACTCTGTTTCTGTGTTTTTTCATCCCACTTTCCCTCCACCTCATCATACCCTTTATTTAGAATGGGGGAGGGCTGGGGCTGGAGTACCCTGAACCATAGATTCATTGCTGCCATCATCCTTTTGGAAGCTTAGCTTGGAAAAAGAGGAGTGAGATTTATTGCACTTGTAGGTCTAATTAGGGGGGAAGGGGGGCTTCTGGCCCGTTCCCTGGTTCCCTCTCCTCTTCACGGAGCTGGGGCCGCCTCCTCCAGAGCTGTGGCCTTGTTTTCACCCTTCCACTTTGAAAGGAAAGTTTGTGATTGAACCCTGCTTTCATAGTTGTGTCATTTTTTTTTAAAGCATGATACTCGTTTTATTTCTTCATCAAACTCCACCCTCTGCTTAAATACTGCATACAAATTACAATTTACAACAGCATTTACCGATCCTTCTGATTTGGCCATAATGCATAGACTGCAGCTGGCATGAGCTTCCACATCATTTAATCGCTGTGTTGTGTGGGTTTGGTTTTTTTAACACAACTTTTGATGTTGTATTTGGATATGCTTCATGTTCATGTGGCAAGAGATGCAGTACTTTTCTTATAAATATATTTAGCAGTTTACAGTTAAAGTTTATCTCCTGACAATCATTAGAGATGTCTTATAGTCAAATTATCAAACCAGTCAATTTTGCAGACTGCAGATTACTCTTTCTTGTAATTGACTTTAAAATTATATTTTATATGCCACAAGAAAAGAAATTGAATTCCTTCAGATCTCAAGGAGCAGACAAATATGACGACTTCATTTCTAGCTCCAGGGAGATTTTGTAGGCATCTGAAAAAAAAAAAAAAAACTTTGTATTGTGCTCTGACTTAATTGAAAAATAACTGCCAAGTTCAAAACTATAATTAGAAAAAGCATTTTAGCCACTATGTCTCAAGAGCTTAAATTGCACTGGAACCAGCATTAATATTAGAATCAAAGTAAACTTGAGAAAACAGTGGACAACCTGAAATAAGACAGCTACACGGACATGGACATATCTATATTAATTTGCCTGGGGGGGGAGAGTTCAGTAGCCCTAACTTTTCCTAAAGTTGTCTTTGTTTACATGGCAATTTAAAACGCTGGCACTGTTGAAGTAAAACATACACATTTTTAAAAAACTTTGGGTCAGCTTTAAGAACTCAAAGCATGCTTACGTTTTGCATTCAGATGGTTAATGAATCCAGTGTTTTTGCAGTTGAAAGCTCGTGCATTCACTGGGCAAAAGCTGGCTGCAGGTTGCAGTGGCACCACACAGGACAGACATTAATCATATTTCCCACTTTTTTCAATAATGTTTGGCTATTGTAAGTTTAACTTTTTTCCTTGTAAATTTTAAATTTTCTATTGTTTTTATTGGTGAGAACTTTGTATGGGGCGGTGGGGAGGAGGGGAGAAGAGAGGGGTGCAGAATACTTGTTTTCTACTCAAAAGTTGTAAGTGGTTAGTAGGGTATGTTACTTGTGTCTCTTTTAAGGATAATTCTATAGCATTTTAAGAGAATATGGAAACATTTTATGAGCAAAGCGCTGCTTGTTTGCAAATGAAAAGGCCGCTCGGCATTTGCCTAGAACCACAAACAACCTTTCTCTGGTTTCACCTTTTCTTTTTCTTTTTCTTTTTTTTCTTTTTTAACCGTGATTTATTCTTTCTGGAGGGGTGAGTGGGGTTTCATTTATCTGTGTTTTACTTCTTGGTGACCGAGGGGTTGGGTGGCACTTTTTTGGCCTTGCCAGGCCGGGGACCCTGAAGTCAGGCCTAGTTCTGGAGGGACTAAGGTGGCCAGGGGGCTCAGGCGATGGCTGGACACATGAGCTGGGGAGCTGGAGGGCCTTCCTCTATATTTCCGGGTGTGGGCCGTGAGTGAGAGTCAGCCAGAGAAGATGCGCGGGGAGCGTGTGGCTGCGGGGAGTTTCTGCATTGTGTTGGGTGCGCTGCGGCGCAGCGATGTTCGCAAGCCCCCTGGATGCACATTGCCTCTTTTCTCTCTTTCTTTTTGTCAGCGGTTCAGCGAGGAAGAATGCCTCCGACCCAGCCCAATCCAGGCCAGTACGCACTCACCAACGGAGACCCTCTCAATGGCCACTGCTACCTGTCCGGCTACATCTCACTGCTGCTGCGGGCCGAGCCCTACCCCACGTCGCGCTACGGCAGCCAGTGCATGCAGCCCAACAACATCATGGGCATCGAGAACATCTGCGAGCTGGCCGCGCGCCTGCTCTTCAGCGCCGTCGAGTGGGCCCGCAACATCCCCTTCTTCCCGGATCTGCAGATCACCGACCAGGTGTCCCTGCTACGCCTCACCTGGAGCGAGCTGTTCGTGCTCAACGCGGCCCAGTGCTCCATGCCGCTGCACGTGGCGCCGCTGCTGGCCGCCGCCGGCCTGCACGCCTCGCCCATGTCCGCAGACCGCGTGGTGGCCTTCATGGACCACATCCGCATCTTCCAGGAGCAGGTGGAGAAGCTCAAGGCGCTGCACGTCGACTCGGCCGAGTACAGCTGCCTCAAAGCCATCGTGCTGTTTACGTCAGGTGAGGCTGCGGTCGCGGGGAGGGCAGGCCCCGGCGGGGGCGAGGCAGGCCTGGGGCCGCCGGGCCGGCAGCCCGCGTTTCCCGCGCCGCCCGTCGCCGCTCGGGGCGGGCCCTCGCCGGACACTGGGCCCAGCCCGGGCCTGGGCCCCCGCGCGGGGACGCGGCCGGCAGCGCGCTGCCATCTTGGGAGCGCGGCCGTGGGGAGCCCAGGCGGCGCGGTGCGAGCGCGGGCGGCCGGGCCGGGGCCGCGGAGGGTGTGTGTGCGGAGAGCGAGTCGGTGCTGCGATCGGCTGCGCGTGTGTGCGGGGTGCGTACGTGTGAGCCAGAGCTGTGCGTTTCTGGGGGAGGAGAGGGAAGGGAGAGACGTGGGAATGTGGCTTCTCCCCCTGCGTGGCGCGCTCCCTGGGTGAGTTTCCCGACACAGAGACACAGAGAGGTGGAAAGAGAGGAATCCGTGCAAATAAATCATAAATAATCCTGCTTTATTGCTACCTGATTTTCCCTTATCGGAAACCATTCATGTTTGCAGTTGCTGAGGTTATTGGGGGTCGTAAAAAACGGATTCGATCTAAACAAGAAAGATAAAAAACAAAAGCAATACTGTAGAACCCGCAAGTACGGGAGGATTCCCGGCCCTGAGATAAATTTCATAGCTATGCAAAACATCTGAACACTGAAAATGTAACAGAGTGCTTTAAAAAATATCAAATTAAGAGTAGGCAGTGATAACGTGCATGTTAACAATTTCTCTTATGATAGATGGTTCAAATTAACTTCCAGGAAAGTGTATTAACGTTGCCTTTGAAGGGCTCTGGTCTGAGCCTCTGAGAACACTGCCCGCCTTTTATTATTGTAACCTGCAAGAGAGAAACATATAAACACCCGGGACAGCAGGTAATGAGGGGGAATATAAACAAAGCCAGAAAGGACTCTGGCCAGGAACAGAGCTGCTTAGACCCAATCTTGGGTCTTGCCCACTGTAAGTAGGGTTAGCCGCAGTTTTACCACTATTATTGACACTATTGTTTATAATTCCTCCATTTGGAGAACAAATAAACTCTCCTAATAAAGCTATCCTAGAGCTAGACCCTCCAAAGGCCAAATTAAAACCATTCTTGAGCAGAGATAGCAAATTTCCTTACCCAAGGCCTTGTTGAACAGTAAGCAACGGTATAATCTATCAATATTTCTTGGCTTTCATGCGTGAAGAATCGTATTTACATTGTATTAAAATGACTCTTAAATTTGCACAATATTGTAATGTAGCAAATGTAGTATTAATATCGATCTGAACAGCAGATAATTTATTTAGACAAGAGCATCTCATTTGTATGCAGGGTGGCCAGACCCATGGACTTGGACTGCCCCCCTTTTACTTCCAGTGCAAATGCAGGTCTGCTAGTGAGAGAGGGAGTTATTCTTTGCAAGAGGATAAAGTGTAAACCTTAAAACAAATGGAAGATTTATTGAATAGCCTCTGTGATGTTTGAATGCATTTTATCTTAATAAATCTTCTTGATGGAAAAGTGTTTTTCAGAAGTGACAAAGAGGCTGGGAAGCACAACCAGGCCGCTTTAGCTCTGGCAGGCCTGGGGCCTGGCTGGCTCACTACTACCCGGCTCTTTAGCCAAATTCATCAGGAAACAAGCCAGTGTCAGGGGAGCTGGGGTTTTAAAATCTCATCCAGTGAGGTGTCTCGATGCAGAGATGTGAGTTGGAGTTGGACAGAGGTCTTCTCAAAAAAGGTCTCCTTTCCCTTTTCCTTACTCCCCCCAAGGTTCTTTGAACCCCTTTGACTTAGCTAATCTCATGCCCTCTCTCCCAGAGAGAGGTGAGGAAGGCTGTGTATACTGCAGAAACATTGTGGAATTATTCATGCTTTTCTTTTAACTTCTCATCCTAAAACATTCCTGTGAAAAGTATTCCTTTACAAAGTTTTCCAAAGAAGTTTCTTGGACCAAGTAAGTCTTCAAAGTGCAAGGGGTGCCTAGAAGTGAACAAGAAAATTATTTTGTTGGAAAATTGCAAGCAGAATATCTGAAAATGGAAATAGAGCTGTCAGTAGTAATTCAGCCCCCCTCCTCCATACAACACATTTCCACTTTTGACTAAACTTGTTTTGATTACTAGCCAGAAGGGAATTCATGGGAAGCCTTCTCAAAGTCATCCAACTTTTAAGCAAACTTTGAATGATGGAAAAGACAGTTTTAGACATATTGTCCAACGTGGTTTGCTCTGGCTGAGTATTTGAAGCTGGCACGGGGGTCCCCTGTGGTGGTTTTCACATTTGGCCTCCGGATGGTATGTTTAATCCTTAATATTTTGGACAGCATCCAAGGACTAGGTCATGACCTGAACTTACTTCTTAAAAAATTCATTAATTCATATACCTAAATATTCCTTCAAATAAATGAGACCTTCTCTGAAAGGAACCATCTAGTTAACATAAATACAATAAATCCATTTTCGGCACAATAATAACTTTGATTTCTAGTTATGGCAGCTGATTACATCTATATTTCCTGAACACTAAACTCTTCTGAATGCACAACATGAAATACATTCTCTGCACTACAAAGGCTAAGCCAGGAGGGCCTGAGCAGTAATGGTTATTTATTTACATAATTTCTTTTCCATGCACTATAGAAGAAATATTGAGAGTACCCACATTGACACTACAGTATAAAAAGTGAGACATGGATTTTGCACATTCTACCTCATTTTCTTATCTGGGGTATAACTCAAGGAGCATAAATCTATGTTGCATGATACCCCTGGTCACCTAGCTTTGTCACCACAATCTCCCAATCGATCTGAGAGCTCAAACCTTCTGTCCACAGTTGGAAGAATCCTATTGCAAGGGGATGAGTGAATACCCGGAGTGAGAAGCCAGGCCAGAACTCGGTCTCCTGCTGGAGAGGGGCCACAGAACTTGCTGGCTGGTACCTGGCAGGCAGGTCTAGCTACAAGCATCCCGCCTCCAAAAAGGGAAAGAAATGGAAGCAGCCAGCACAGGGCCCACGCAGGCCTTCCCTGGACTTGTCTCTCTTAGAGTGGCCTATTCGGAAGTTAGAAAGTGACCTTGTACTCCAGGAACCCTAATTGTAAATATAAGATAAACATTTTACTGTCCTGAGGGGATGGCATATGGATATATTTCACAAACCTGCTGGGATATCAGTGAGTCATTTTCCTATTGTGTTGTCTAGTGCTGAGAGTGATCCCCATGCCATAATGAACTGGCAATACATGTAAAGCAAGCTAGATGTAAATATGGGTCCCCATCACAGCCATTCAGCAGTGCCAGGATAATAATCAGGGCCAAGGGCAAACTTCAGGGTCTCCTCTGTAAGCAGCAAAGTCCCAAAGAGCTCCTATCCTGGCCCTGCTAGCCATAAACTCTCACTGCCTTCCCAAGCCAGGCCAGTGTGGATGTACCCAACTGGCTGGCTGGAGTAATTAGACATCTGAGAAGAATCGAGTCTGTATCTGAGGTCAAAGGGGACTTGCCTCAGAAGTTCTTGAATTATGGCTAGTTTTATTTGTATTTTTGCTGGAGGCCATAGCCTTGTAGATGAAGGTGATAGAATACTTTGTAAATCTCAGTTCTTGAAATATAAGGACGTAAAGCTCCGAAACTCAGCAGATACAGGTTTTGCTTTGAATCATTTGTTGTGTCTTCTTGAGGTCACACTTGCCCATTCATAATTATACAGTGTCCTTTCAGGGGCATTGCCATGCAGGAATTTCTTCCCAGATCTATATATTAGCAAACTCTGCCTTTGATGTCTGGCCAACCTCCTCACTGGCTAAGGGCTCTTCTGTGATCTTCCTGTTTTTTAAATATTTATTATTAATATAAGAAACAACATGGGTATTTGAACTAGGAAAGGAAGCCTTTACTCCACTCCTCTGATTCCACCTTCCCCTCTGTTTGCTTGCCTCTAGTTAGTTGATATAGTATAATCTGCTGTCCTGAAATATTTTTAGAGTAACAATAAGGGTCATGGTCCAACACTGAAATGAGCACACAGATTTTGAAACGCTGTCATTGTGGCGATGCCTTTTTTTTCCATGCTCCTGCCATAGAAAGCCTATCTCCCCCAAGTTGCCCCTTGCGTCCCTGTCACTCCAGTTCTGAGGCAGCAGCAGCTTTGTGCCTGATCACTAAAGATGTCTCCTTTGCACAGCCTAGAGTAACTGAGTCATATTCCTCCTGATTATTTCACAGCTTACAGATATGTGACCAATTTTCAATTACTTGATCTAAGGCACAGATAGAAGTGTACACCCGCATGGAGAATTTGCTGCAGAGTCCTTGCTTGCATAAATAGTGAATCTCAAACCCTACATTGCTCAAGCAGGGGCTTGGTCTGATCCCAGGCAGCTCGTGACCCCTTCCCCTCCCATGTGTTTGTTCACTACCCAACCTAGGTTCTCCTTGAGGTTTCTCTAGGGTCGTTTGGGTTTATCAGGGGACTGTAAGAATCTTTTAAGATCTGCCTCCAGGTTGCATATTTCTTCAGGGGTCCTGAATAACCCAAAATCAGGGGCAAGAGGGGCAAAAGTACTCGGTTTAATGAGCACAACAAAAAGATGCTCCCCTGCAGGCCAAGGGCAGGTTGTTACACACCGAATACATGGTTCCAGCACTGTACATTATTTAACCCAAAGGTGAAAGGGGAAAAACAAAAGGAACAGAGAGCTCACTGCTTCTGCTGTGTGTGCTCCTGTCTCCAGCTCCCTTAGGCTTGGTGGGGGGTTGATTTATTTATATTTTTTATATTGGTGGCTTGGGGGAAGGGAATGATAAAGAAGGAAATTGGGAGGTATGGAGGAGCGGATTTCTTTTCTTTTCTTCTTCTTCTTTTTTTTTTTCTATGTCTTATTCCTTTTCTCCTTTTAAAAAAAAAATGGCTGGTTTGGGCCTTTGCTGCTCACTGGCCTAACGTGTGCCCCCTTTCCCTGTCTCTCCCTCCTGTGGCTGCTGGGCAGATGCCTGTGGCCTGTCGGATGCCGCCCACATCGAGAGCCTGCAGGAGAAGTCGCAGTGCGCGCTGGAGGAGTATGTGAGGAGCCAGTACCCCAACCAGCCCAGCCGCTTTGGCAAACTGCTGCTGCGACTGCCCTCGCTGCGCACCGTGTCCTCCTCCGTCATCGAGCAGCTCTTCTTCGTCCGTTTGGTAGGTAAAACCCCCATTGAAACTCTCATCCGCGATATGTTGCTGTCTGGGAGCAGCTTCAACTGGCCTTACATGTCCATCCAGTGCTCCTAGACGTGGGGCACTTCCCAGCTGCCCCTACCCCCTAGAGACTCAGAGGACCCGCCAGGCCAAGGACTCCAAAGGCACTGAGACACCAGGGGTGCGGCAGGCCAGGAGGGGGGAGGCCGGGACAAGAGCAGCCCACCTGCAGAAATGCAGTCTAAGCTGCATAGCATGGGCAAGAGAGACTCTTAGGATCAGATCTGTGAGCTCTGGAAAGGAAAAAAAGGACTTTGCGTATGGTGAGAAAAAGAAAAAAAAGTGTTTTTGGAAGAGAGGACCCTGAGAATTTTAATAAAACAGAAGGAGACTAATGGACCTTCCGGGATTGATTGTGGACAGATGTGGATATATTCTGTACAGAAAACAACACATATGGAAGTGGACTGAATCCTATGTAGAAACACACACACACACTGAACATTGTTATTCATTTTGTAAAATACTAGTCTTTATTTTCATTTTTTGTAAAATTTAAACATCGTATGCGCATAAAGAAAAAGAAAACAAGAATTAGGGGAAAATAACATTTTCCAGATAATTATAAAAATTGTCCTGTGTCTATGTATCTATATCTGTTTTGTATTTTTTTCTGGTTCCAAACCAGATTTTCTGTCATTCTATACTAATAATTTTTGATATAACCCTTTGCTTCTTATAATGAGTGCGATATATGTTGTCAAGGCTGTTCTTCAAGAATTAAAATTGAAGTGAAAATTTAAACAAAAATAAAAGAATTTAGCAAAATTTGTGTCTGGTTGCTTGATAGATGTCATCAGTGCAAGAGAGCCTTTGATTAATTTCCACCTCAATTATTAGTAGAATAGGGGATTGGGGGTGGGTGGACTTATAAGGCCCATGACTAAATTGGCTAGATTCATTTTCTAAAACGAAGCTGCTTCCTTGGTTTTGTAAATGTGAAGGGCCAGGCTCTGCAGGGTAGGTCTCTGGAGGGCTGGCTGCCTTGATCTTGAGCCCTAGAGACTTAGGGGACTTCAGGGCAGGGACTGTGGCAGGCTGGGTAGTGTGCAGAGCTGAGGTTCCATAGGGGTGGGGGGCGGAAGCCTGCTTCAGTGACTGGAGGTACCCCAGGGGCCTGGTACTAGGTGGGAATTTGCTGAGCAGCAGAGGATTCAGAGACATAGGGAGGAGCCGGATGCAGGGTTAGCAAGAGAGGACAGCTCAGACACCTCTGAGCCCTGCATGGGTAGAGCTGTCTCCCAGCTCTGAGAGACAGTTGGGGCTTCAGCTCTGCAAGTCCCTGGCTTTGCTCCCCCTTATGGTCTGCTGAAGAGCTGGCTGTGGTTTGCCCTTCCCTCCAAACCCTGGGACAGTTGTTCCCACCAGGGTCCTGAGCTCTGGTGGGCAGAGGGAAGGCCCCTCATATGGCACTTAGGGGTGAGGACTCGGACCCTGGGAGTCAGAGTGCTGGGTTGGAGCAAGTTCTTTCCAGTAGCAGCATTTGGGCCCTAGTGGCCCTTTGAGGACAGAAGCCTCCCCCTGAGGCCTGTCCTTGGGCGTGCTTTGAGGGGCAACTCTCTCTAACAGCTTTCAGAGCATGAATGTTTTATAGGATCAGAGCTATGCTGGGAGAACACACACTGCCAAGGGAGCTCTTTCTTAACGTATTAATAAAGCCAGATCTTTTAAAATAACACCTCTCACCCCTCCCCCTTCCCTCAGCCCCAAACAGCCCTGATGAGGCAAGAGCTTCACTTTCAGAACTCACTGGCAATGTTTTGCTTTCAATGTGCTATCTAGGAGTCTCCAGCCCCCACCCCTCCCCAAATGTGTTAACAAGCTTCTACTCTCCAACCTGCTTGAGGATTTTAATATTCTGGGTGGAGCGCAGCATGGGCAGTGCCATGCTCTCTCTGGGGAGCCACGACAGGTCCACAGTCTGCAGCCGGCCGGCCGCAAGGAGATGGGCCTGAGCTGGGGCTGCTAGGCTGTGGGGTACAGAGCCACTTGGTTCCCTGGTTCCACCCGCTCCAGGCAGCATCCTCTGCACCATGCCCAGGGACATCTTTGGGACTGGGTTGCGTTCCTTGGGGGTTGGACACCTAGGCTGGAGGTGGTGGAGAGAGCTCACGTTTAACCCCTGGCTGCTTCCCAGGACATATCCTAGAGCCTTCTGGCTGTCCAATGGGGTGGGGCGGGCTGTAGCTAGGGCTCAGAGGGGGAGGGGAGGCATGTGCCTCCCAGAGCTCAGTGATCTTCCTGCCTTTCTTGAAATGAGATGTAAATATATTCATTACAGTGTGATCCCTCTGATGAAAACAGATAAACATTTTCATAGGTTGGAAATGTATTTTTCAATTAATTTCAATATGGAGGCCTAAGCACAGTCGACTAGTGTGGAGACTGGTCTGAAGTGCTTCCTCCGATGTCCAGAGGGGACAGTGGTAACTTAGCTTTTGCTGAATGGGGCTCAAAGCACTGCCCCTAGTCTGAGGAATCCCAGTGACCTGAGATTGGGCCTATGCCTAGGGGCAACCTGAGAAGCCCAGGGAGAAGCCCAGGCCTTCCTAGCCTCCCAGGTTCCCTCCTTAGCTAGTATATGAATAGGAGGCTCTGAGGCTGAGTGGAAGGGAGGAGCAAGGGGAGATGCGGTCCCTGTCTGGGAGAACCAAGAGCAGTGGATTTTTCTTAGGTGGCTGGCACCTGCATTACACACAGAAAGACAGTCTTTCTGTGACCTGAGGTCTCTGTGTGTGTCTCATCCAGAGAGATAAAAAGCCTCGCAGGAACTCAGAGGTCATGCAGGCTCCTTTGCTGGGCTGGACAGGCTGCAAGAGCCGGCAGAGCCAGACAGAACTCGAGAAGGGAAAGTTTAGGAGTTGAGGCCATAGCATCTAAGCCACAAGTTAAGCCTTCTGATAGTTGGAAGTTACCACTTGGGTCTGGTGATCTGAGGGCTTCTGCTGGCTGGGCTGACCTGTGCTGGCATCCCAGGGCAGGTACAGGGTGGAGGGGCCTGGGTCTCCTCATAACACAGAGGGGCAGGCTGCAGTAGTGGCCAAACTGCCTGGGCTCAGCGTCCAGTTTCTCCCAGTCCCCAGTTGTTGATGTGCCCAGAACCTGGGCAGGAGGTGAGATGTAGCAGGTTGGAAGCCTTTTCTGCCTGGGTGGCCTCCAGGACATCCCTGAGCCGCCAGCCCACCTTCATGCTAGGCACCAGGGGGAGCCATGGCACCGGTGTGAGGTCACAGCAGGTGTAGGCCTCTAGACATCACCGTGGGTGGTGGGTGCCGCCACCACTCTGTCTGCCCCAGCGGTCACAGCCCTAAATAATCAGGAGAGCAGGCCTAGGGTAACCCAGCAGGGTAGTTCCGACTGGTTCCCCAGGGGCAGAGGAAATACAACTTAGCAGCTGGCTAGCTGCGGATGTGAGGAGACTTACCTCTCCACATTACTTGTGACCTAGGAAAGTCAAGCGTTTGCCCTAACCCAAACACTTGCTGGACAACTGAAGACTTTAGGGACTTTGAAGCCTGTTTAAACTACCTTAGCCACAGCTTTGTGGAAAACATCAGAAATGCTATCTGGGGAAGTGCTCTTTTCTGGGAATCCCTAGGGAACAAGGTTGAGCCTTATACACTGCCAAGGTACAAGGCCTGGCAGTAGCCAGGAAAGATCCGACCTTAGCCCCCACACGGAACTTCCAACCTGGGGCCAGGCCTGGTGGAAGCCTACCAGCCTATGGGTGGGAGTCCAGGCCCTTCCTGTCCCCTGGCATAACCTCAGGCTTTGGGAACTCCTCCCCTCGGGTTGCTCCAAGCTCTCAGCTTTTGGCAGCTGCAAAGACAGGTCCGTTCCCTGAGTTGCCACTGCCCAGCTTTGCGCCAGGGTCGCAGGGATCTGCTGTCCTCTCCATCTGAGATCACCTGAGTTTGTCTGCTTGAGGCGTGTGGTAAAAAACGTTTATTTTAAAAAATCGTATTTTTCCTCTCCCTCCACTCACTCGTAGGCACTCCTTATTAACTCCTACAGCAGCAGAATCTCTTCCTGCAAGCTCCGCAATTCCTCCGAGCAAATCACCTGAATATCTCTGCAAATCACAGCGTATGAGGAGTGTGGGGAGGAGTGAAGGGGGCACAAGTGGGAACTAATAAAACTCTCTAGTTAAAGGGGCTGCTCAGGGTCCGTGGCGTCACTGGGCCTTTTTCTTGGGAAACCAAAGAGTTGTATCCCTAAATGAGTTAAAGACCCATTTACCTCTGTCGTGTTCTATTCATCAAGCCACAAGTTGAGAGTTCCTAACATGAAACTATTTGTTTGCTTACACAACCAGCTGGGCGCAATTTCACGTCTGAGATATCTATCTGAAAGCGCCTCTCATTTATTATCTCTCCTTGTCAGCGAATCCATTTTCCCTTTCCCTCTCCCCACTTTGGAGTTTATTTATTTATTTATGGTGGGACTTCTTTGCCTGGGAGGACCTGGGACTGGAATGCTCCCCAGGGAGCGGCTGCTCACTGCTGGAGGGTCCACAACGCCCAGGTCGCCAGGACCAAGCAGCAACAGAGGCACCAACGGTCACCGGTCACCGCTGACCCCGGCTGGTGGGCGAGCCGGGTACAGCGTGGGTGGCGGGTGGGCCTGGCCGGCCCCTGCGGAGCTGCCTTTCTCCCCGGATGCCCTCCCTGCTAGCTCTCCCTCTGTAAGCCTCAACCACCTGTGCAAGGGGGGGGTGGTGGGCAAGAGGAGAATCCAGGAGCCTTTCCCGGAGATGGGGGCCTGAGGGGGCCGATTCGGATTTGAGAGATGATTTCACAAAGCCTCACCTAGTCTCATGGGGCCAATTTCTTCTCTGGGTCGAAGTGCAGAGTGAGTAACCAAGATGTAAATAGTTGCGTGACGGGTTGGGGGAGGGGGCAGCGCATTTATTGTGTGTGCGGAGGGGAGAAAGCTGCACGTGGTTTCAATTTTGAAGCACAAAGAAATAACATGCAATGCAGAAAATAGGTTTATGAATGTAATTGAGAGGAAAGAAAACAATTAACACGGTGCAAGGTTGCACACTCTATCCTCCTCCCCACGCCGCAACCCCCCCTTCCCTTCTACCCCAATTTTGAGAAATCCGGATCATGTGAATAGAGTGGGTCTAGGCAGTTGGATCTGCTGACAAGAGAACCCCTGATGGGGATCTCAGTGATGGTGGATAATGGTGTCTAGCCATCTCCCAGTCTGGGAAGACCTCTTCTAATCAACCTGAAAGCAATG